TTTTTCAAAGAAATAACCTATAAATGTTAAAAGTATAATTGGTTATTTATGCACAATATATTTCTCTCAAAATTTCAATTTTTTTCATCAGGCAGAAACCAGTAGAGAGATGGGTGGGACCCATAAAGCTAAATTCTTAGTTTTGTGACCAGCTGTCTACAATAGCTGTAGTCTGTATCTTGAGTCTATGGAGGACACAGACAGAGAAACAATATTGCTTATTGTTGAACTTGAAGCACAATCTCAGTGCATTCTTTTGATAAGCTGGGCGATTTGAATGATACCAGGACTCTTCCTCTTAGAGAAGGTACCTTCCACAATGGGGGGACGGGGAGGGATTTAGAATTCAGAATTTCCTCACTCCTTGAAATCTCCCTATTCCTTTTTTCTTTTTATTATTATTATTAAAAATTTCCACCTCCTCCCCTCCTCCCATTTTCCTCCCCTCTCCTCCCCCCTTCCCTCACCCTCCCTCTCCAGTCCAAAGAGCAGTCAGGGTTCCGAACCTTCATCTGGCGATGGATGGAGATAGAGACAGAGACCCACATTGGAGCAATGGACTGAGCTCCCAAGGTCCAAATGAGAAGCAGAAGGAGGGAGAACATGAGCAAGGAAGTCAGGACTGCGAGGGGTGCACCCACCTACTGAGACAGAGGGGCTGATCTAATGGGAGCTCACCAAGGCCAGCTGAAATCTCTCTATTCTAATAGCATGAAGAAGCAAAGGGGAAGCCTCTCAAGGAAATAGAGCATTTGTGCCACAAACCCAGAGCCTCTAGCCTATAATAAGGCTATTATGCCACTGATGTCTTGGTTACATTTGTCTTACAATTCAGCTGTAAAAAGACAATACAAAGTTTGCTTTGTAACCATCTATTTATAATTTTCTTCTTCCTCTCTTCCTTCCCCCTTCTGGGTGTGTTGTTACAAACATGCAGAAGCTGAGAAGACTTGTAGGAGCCAGTTCTCAGCTCACACCATGTGTGTACTGGGGATTGAGCCCAGGTTATTAAGCTCAGTGGCCAATGCTTTAATTTGCTAAGCCTTCTTGCCAGCCTCCCCAACTTCCAATTGCCTTACTTTTTAATATTTCTTTTTAAATCAGAAGCACCAAAATAATAAAAAATCCAATTCCAAGCATTTCTTTTAAAAAACATTGTTTAAAATTTGACATAAATTATATGTATTTTTGACATAAATTATATGAATTTTGAAATATGTATACATATATGTGTATGTTGGAAAATTATTAAATCTAGCTAATTAATGCATACATTAGCTCACATAGACAACTTGTTTTTTGGCACTGGGAGAATCAGAATACTTTCATCATCTTAACACTTTTTAAGAGTATGGTAAATATATTAATTCTATTATTCATTATGTGATGCAACACATTTCTTGAATTTATTCATCTTAGCTGACTGATCAGGAATTTATATCCTTTATTCCCTTTCTAAATTCTCACCAGCACTTTTGATTTTTTTTTTGTCTTTCGACAATAGTATTCTAACAAGAGTGATAATGGGATATCTGATTGTAGTTTTCATTTGCAATTCACTGCCTATTAGTGATGCTGAGCATAAACCTCGAGAAATGTGTATCCACGGTATTTATCCATTTGAAAGCATCATCTTGATTCAGACTCCACCAGGACCACGAGACAGAGAAATGCTGAGTGGGCTGCTGGACTATCACAAGAAGCAGAGAGTACAGTGAACAGAGAGGCCAGGTAAGCTTGGCCATGGAGACAATGGTGGAAGAGAGTCACAGAGGCCCGAAGTTCATACTTATCACAAACATCCTAGAGTGAGTAGCCTGTATGCAGGATCATATCCCCACCTCTTAGGTGAGTGCACATCAGAAGAGCTCTCAAATGTGGCACAACCTAGCACAATTATTGGAAGTTAAGGGCTGTGCATTATAGGCAAGAAATCAGAGGACATTTCTATGGCATAGCACGCTGCACCCAGCAAAGGTCGATACAAGCATGAATAAATGCACACACTACAAAGCCTTACACGCCGAAGACTGCCCGTGGGAGGTACCATTGTGCAGCATACCAGACAGAAGAGTGTAGTTGGAAGGCAGGGAGAGCAGGTGGATGTATGGGATTTTTTCTCTCTTATCTATGCCTATAATTCAAAGGTTTTGTCTTTTTCATTTCCTATATGTCCTTTCCTGTGTTTTAAAACAAATTTAACATTCCTTCCTGATTTAGATTAATAATATATTTTGTCTTTGACCTCCTGGTACTCTACCTTCTGCTCGACTCATTCTTCTTGTCAGGCTTTCCTTTGAGTTTTCTAGTTGAATTTTGGGCTTTCAATTCCATCTTCCTTCAGCTTGAGTTCTCATCAATGTTTCTATCTCTTTATTGAATTCCACTTTCAAATCTTGGATTATCTTTATCATTTTCATCAGTCTTATGTTTCTATTTTCTGAAGCATTATTCAGGCATTTATTTTTCTTAAGTGGTTTCTCTCTAATTTCTTTGAGCTATTTCTTTGTGTCTTCTTTAAACTTTTCGACTTCTTTTTTAATTAATTAATTAAAAAGAAAACAAGCAATCTTTTTTCATTTTACATACCAATCTCAGCTCACATTCCCCCCACTTCCCTCCACTGAACCCCCCACCCTCACCTCTGGTCCACTCCCCAGAGAGGGTAAGGCACACTGCTTTGGGAAGGTCTGAGGCCCTCTGTACTATATCTAGGCTGAGCAAGGTATCCATCCAAAGAGGATAGGTTCCAAAAAAGCCAGTACAAGCAGCAGGGACTAATCCTGGTGCCACCGTCAGTGGCCCTGCAGTGTGCCGCAGCCATACAACTGTCAACCACATTCAGCGGGACTAGGTTGTTCCTATGCTGGGTCCTTCCCTGTTTTACTAGAGTTGGTGAGCTCCCATTATTTCAGGTAAACTGTTTTAGTATATGTCCCCAACATGGTCTTGATCTCTTTGATCATATTCTCACTCCTCCCACTCTTCAGCTGACTGAACTTTGGGAGCTCAGTCCAGTGCTCTGAAGCAGATCTCCGCCTTTGTTTCTATCAGTTGCTTGATGATGATTCTATGGTGATCAAGTTTATTACTGTTCTTTTAAATTTTGTGTGCTGTAGTTCATCTATGTATTTCTTTTTATTTTATTTTATTTTTTTCATCTATGTATTTCTAATTGGCAAAAATTCCTACAGAACTTGTATATTTTGGAGGGGAGATACTACCTTGAACGTTAATATTGTTTGTGTTTTGTGATGAGATCTGGACATGTGGACTTCATTATTTCTATGTCTGATATGGACAGAACAGGCTGGCAAATATTGCTACCTTTGGTTGTTTTCCAATGATGTATCTTCAGCACCCAAAGATAGGTGTGATGTCTTGCATTTGCTTAAAAGTCCTAGTTGACACCTAAAACAATTAAGATATTAAATAATAAAAGAAATGAAAACTGCTGCTGGAAAATCGCTTTCTAGATAGTAAGGCTGGGATTTGACTTCAAAGAGCAACTGTGTGGACTTGAAGATGAAGATATCCCTAGTTCATAAATCGATCATCTTAAGTAGTAGCAGATCGATCACAAAATGACATCAAAGAACAGGCATTGAAAACAAAACCATACTGTCAAAGAACATTGCGTCAAGTTAGGTAAGATAAACAGTAGAAGGTGGCAACGAGTGGTGCTCCGAGACGGAAGCAACTTGTTTCCCACACGCCTATAGAGACCCACTGTCTTACATACTGTTGATAGCCCACTTTCTAAAGGGCTGGAGAGTATATGAAAACACAAGGCTTGAGATCTATTTGAGAAACCCTGGAAGAACTAGTTGGGTAACAGCAGGGGCTGGGGTGGAAAGGATGCTTCGTCATTAGTTGAGGCCACAGCTGTAGCACTGTGGAGCACAAGGACAAACACACCAATGCTTTCTCCACAAGATTTCTCAAGAACTTTGTTTAAAGAATGTACATAAATATGTATCATAAATACACATACATATGTATATATATGATATACCATTCAAATTATTCATTGTATATCTAGAAACTACTTGGTTTATAAGTAACTTACTAATTCGCTGAGTGAGATTTGCCATATAGTCTCAAATATGTTAAGTTTGATACAAACATTGATGTTAATAATGATTAATGGGCGGAAAACAGCCCCAAATCTTAGAACATTCTGTATCTTCATAAGCATAACGTGAACCTATTGTTACCTGGATAAAGCTTTCCTTTAATACAGATGAAACATCTTTAGGGAACTTCACTTTGTGTTTACCTGCTCACTTTAACAGGCAACACTGCCATCATTGACGTATTATGTGATGTTGCCGCATTGCTATAGGAAAACTAGATCCTGTTTCCCAGAGGTGACAAACTTCTAGTTTTTTCTCCTGGTCCTGTCCTAGCTTATGTTTGGCACTGTTTCCTACACCTTTACAATTTCTCTAAACACTTGGAAGGCTAGATAGACATCATTTATCCGGAGGCATTGAAGTAGAAATGAAAACATGACGTAAAATCACTAGCAAGCTATCCTGAAAAGTGTTTTCTTACGGTAAACAAAAATGAGATTACAAAATTGTCTAGACGAATATCAGTTTGAATTAAAAAATCTTCCAGTAGTGGAAGAAATAAGAAAGAATGGAATGTTTAAATTTTATAAAGTGTTTATAATATTGCTTTGTCTTTCCATCAATATGTTTAAAATATTACAAGTGAAACAAGAAGAATTCTATACTGTTATAGAGTTAACAGTGCATCCAATATTGTTTATTTAAAGTGTATTAATAACAAATATAGAGGGAATTGGTTATCAGGTCAAGATTAAAAAAGTGACATTTTCTAAATCTTTTTATTGACCTCAATGTATTCATACATACATATTCAGAATGTCATACACAGATGCAATGATTGGGTACACATGTATACACACACACGCACACACCCATACACACAGCCACTTCCATAGCAATGGGCAAAAGGTTGATATTGTTAAGTCATAGAGCCCAGGTTACACGACGCGTTTGGACATGTGGCTTGTTCGAGCTGCCATCCTTTGAGATGGTGGAGTGCATATGGACAATGCTCCGAGGCATTATGGTGCGCTCTGGAAAGGAAATAACTTGGATTGAATTTCCATTCAGCTTTTTGCCACTACCTTCTCTGTTCAGTAAGCAGGCACATCTATTTGAGGATTGTATGAAACAGAAGATACCTGGAGACAGAGAAATAAGGAAGCAGGATTAGTGTATTGTACAGAGGTTTGGGACCACTTTGTTCCAAATCCTGAGAAGACTCTGACCATTGGGCCTAGTGAATATTTCCCAACTACTCTTTGGAGTCATCCTGGAAGAATGCATAAGTCAGAGGAAGTGGAATAATCCACAGTATCTTCAGAGAGTCTCAGTTCCCTGAGAAGGGTTCATTCTCAATGAAGAGATGCTTATACATTGGTTCTTTGGGGGAGATGCAATTTTTATGAAATTTGAAAGACTTCCCAGGAGAAGGAGAAGAGGACCTCTTGGATCTTGTGGGTCCCTCTTGGATCAGTTTTGATGCTGACTCTCTTGTAACTGCTTTGGCACCACACTGTTTTTCTTGGCTCCCTGGTCCTCTCTAAGATAATAACCTTGTCCTCAGCCACTGCTCTTGGTGGTGACTTTCATGGTTTGTCTCTGCCTTAAAGTTGTGAAGGTACTAAAAACACTAAAAAGGAGATGATGAGAGGTGCTTTTGGAGACAGAGATGGCTTACCCTGTCCAATTTCAGCTTTCTGCTTCTAAGAACTGTTTGGTTAGTCCAGGTAAATTTTTCACCTTTTAAAGCATGGGGTTTGGCATCTTCTCCTTGATCTTTTATTTTCATTACTTCATACTTCTCTCTGTGTGGATTGACTGATTCCCATCTCTCTTCTAGGCCCCTGAGGATACTCACCACAGGTAAGAAATAGTGCGATGGCTAAGTAGACAGTGAAAGTGATCTGTTTGACTTTGTAACTAACGAAGTATACATCTTGACCTTTATTTAGCTTGTGATAATACGTAGAGACTGCATAGAACAAAAGGCAACCTAGTGTTCAAATGAAAGAATTTTTTCTCAAGAAGTTTCTTTAAACTTATTAGTCATGTCTTCACCCCCCATTCACCTTACTTCCCAAACTATCCCTTCCAGCACAGCTTTTCCTTAGAGTGATCATAGTTAGTGATAGATACAATTCAGAAATCAAATAGTTGGAAAGGCTACCAATTTAAAGAAAGATTACAGGTGGGAACACCCAAGCCCATTGCAATTTCCATTCAAATCAGTGAAGCTAGGAAATTACCTGTGAAGAAATTCATGAAGCCAATAATGAGGTGCACACACTTATTTTGAGAGATCATAGAGGTGTACTGAAGACCTAAGACCAAGTTAAGATAGATGGATATGTTGAGAGTCATCATCATCATGCTTTTGATTATCCCCAGGCTACCTGTTGGGAAGCAGAGGCTGTACTAAGAGGAATGTATTACTTCCAGACTTGCTTCCACAATGGTCTAGGTCAATCTTTCATTAGGATCTAAAAAACTCAGATTGCAAAAGGAAGAAAAAAATAAAGAGGCAGTGTACTTGAGACAACTGAGAGATCTCTAAGAAACTTAGTGTCTTTTAAAGATTTTTTTTTTATAACTCATAGACTTTTAAGTACCTTACTCCATGCATCCTCTCCTAGGGATGCTGAAATCCATTTGCCTTTTGGTCAGCCATTTTTGTCGTACCCCTCATGTCTAGTTGTGCTGATTACCTTCCTGCTACTTCCCAGGCTTACCAAAAGTCCAGGCTTATCAAAAGACAGCAAGATCCTAAAATTTTCTCTCAAAATCTAAATGGTGAAATTTTAGAGTTTTCTTTCATTATGTTGTGTACGTGAAGGGCTTATTGTTGCCTGAGAAAGTTGCTTCCAGGAATAATGAGTAAGTTGAGTAGATGATGAAAGTCAAGGGACCATGGGAATTTTTTCTCCACCCACCACTTTTCATAGTACAGTTCTGACCTTCAGGCCAATAAGCAGGACAGCAACCCAGCCATGGACTGTGGGTAATCTTTTCCTTTCTCAGTTTGGGAATTAATTCCACCCAGTTTTCCATGACGATGCCCGATACCAACATGAGTATGGCCCCACAGGAGAAGACTATGTTGGCATTCTGGATACTTCTGTCTTGGAGATGGATCATTGTGGATAAAAATTTCTACCCGAGACTACCACCAATGTTTCACATGTCTTTTCTTTGATGAGTTAGAAGATGAAGGATGGAGTCTGAATGTTCACTGACTGCAGAGGTGTTGCCAGAGATATCAGTAGAGGCAGAAGCTGAAGTAACCTGGAGAGCAGAAAAAATAACTTCCTGTTTTTACCATTCATACATAAAGGGCAGACTGTTGTCAGAGCAACAAACTGCCATGGAATCCTCTGTCTGTTGGTTTGACCCTTGACCTTGGGCCATAAAGCATTGGAGCAACAAAGCTATACAACAGTTCTTTGAGAGAGCTATAATGTGGCAAGGTCATATACCATAGAAAAAGATATCAGAAACAGACTCTAAAGACTTTTGACAGGCATAACTGAAGAAGTTCCCTATTGCAGTGAGAACGATGTGTACTGGGGTGTGTTGACACTGGGTGAAGTCTGTGAAGAGGAGAATCCTCAGGTCTGCTGGATAAGAGCTCAGTTAATTGGCACCATAAAAGGGAATGCCCATCAGAAATTTTGGATGTGTTGTAGAAACTCAGGTATTCAATGTGGTTTCTCAAAGAAGACTATTTAATTAGGTTTCTACGGAGAGTAAACATCTGAAACACAAAGAAAAAATGTTCTTGTACACTGGGTCATTTCAGTCCATTCTCTTCCATAAGGCATAGGAATAATTTCTTGTCAGAACTGCCTTTGTAACTTTCAGAGAAAATACATTGAGGAGTCCTCGAAGAGAAAGCCATGGTTTGCACTAGGTTTTAGATCCAGAGGGCTGTTTTAAAACTCCTTAAACACCTTTTACTGGGAACAAAGAAAACTGTCTCCAAATACTTTTCTATTTCCCCCATTTTTTCTTTTATTAAAAGTATTCTTTTCTCATACACTTTATCCTGTTTATAGTTTCCCTGCCTCTACTTCTCCCAGTTACTCCTTCTCCCATACATTAGAAAAGAACAGGCCTCTAAGAGATAACAATCAAACATATCAAAATATAATAAAATGAAGCAAAAACTATCATATCAAAGTTAGACATGGCAACCTAACAGGAGGAAATGAGTCCTACGGGAGCAGGTACAAGATTCAATGACCTACTTGTTCTCACAGTCGGAATCCCATAAAAATAATAAGTTAATATCCGTAATATAAATGCTGTGAACCTGGTACGGACCCATGTAGGCTTACCCACACAACACCCCCTCTATTTTTTTTTTATTTCAGCACAGGATCCTTTATTTGGGTCAAAAGGACTTCTTTAATTGCTTCAAATACATTGATCTTTCCAAGATCTGGTTCTATATCATTTGATATTAATGTATTTCCCTTATAGTTTTAATTTTGAAAAGATCATGCTCAAAAATAGATTGTCTTTCAAGTAAAGCTTTATGGTTTGTTGACAGCAGTTTCTGTCCTGCCCGGTCCCTTAGCTATTGAGTTCCAAAGAAATACACAGAGGACTACATTAATTATAAATTACTTAGCATAGTAGCTCAGGCTTTCTTATTAACTAATTATTTTTATTGATTTTTTTATTATTTTTAAAAATTTCCACCTCCGCCATTCCTCCCATTTCCTTCCCCCTCCCCCTAACCCCCTCCCCCAACATCCCCTTCCCCTCCCTCTCCAGTCCAAAGATCAGTCAGGGTTCCCTGCCCTGTGGTAAGTCCTAGGTCCTCCCCCCTCCATCCAAGTCTAGGAAGGTGAGCATCCAAACAGACTAGGCTCCCACAAAGCCAGTACATGCAGTAGGACCAAAACCCAGTGCCATTGTCCTTGGCTTCTCAGTCAGCACTCATTGTCCTGCACGTTCAGAGAGTCTGGTTTGATCACATGCTTTATCAGACCCAGTTCAGCTAGCCTTGGTAAGCTATCATTAGATCAGCCCCACTGCCTCAGTGGGTGGGCGCACCCCTCGCGGTCCTGGCTTCCTTGCTCATGTTCTCCCTACTTCTGCTCCTCATTTGGACCTTGGGAGCTCAGTTTAGTGCTCCAATGTGGGTCTCTGTCTCTAGCTTCATCCATTGCCAGATGAAGGGTCTATGGTGATATGCAAGATATTCATGAGTATGGCTATAGGATAGGGCCATTTCAGGCGCCCTCTCCTCAGCTGCCCAAGGATCTAGCTGGAGACATCTCCATGGACATCTGGGAACACCTCTAGAGTCAAGTCTCTTGCCAACCCTGAAATGGCTCCCTTAATTAAGATATATACTTCCCTGCTCCCTTATCCACCCTTTGTCCATCTCAAACCTCCCATTCCCCCAAGCTTTCCCCATCCTCCACTTTTCACTTTTCTCTCCCTATCTCCCCTTCCTCCACCCCCACCCCCAAGTTCCTAATTTTTGCCTAGCAATCTTGTCTCCTTCCAATATCCTGGAGGATAATTATATGTTTTTCTTTGGGTTCATCTTCTTATGTAGCTTCTCTAGGATCATGAAATATAGGCACAATGTCCTTTATTTATGGCTAGAATCCACTAATGAGAGAGTACATACCATATTCATCTTTTGGGTCTGGGTTACCACACTCAGGGTAGTGTTTGCTATTTCCATCCATTTGCATGCAAAATTCAAGATATCATTATTTGTTACCGCTGAGTAGTACTCTAATGTGTATATATATATTCCATATTTTCTTTATCCATTCTTCCATTGAGGGGCATCTAGGTTGTTTCCAGGTTCTGGCTATTACAAATAATGCTGCTATGAACATAGTTGAACAAATGCTTTTGTCGTATGATAGGGCCTCTCTTGGGTATATTCCCAAGAGTGGTATTGCTGGATCCTGGGGTAGGTTGATCCTGAATTTCCTGAGAAACTGCCACACTGATTTCCAAAGTGTTTGCACAAGTTTACATTCCCACCAGCAATGGATGAGTGTACCCTATACTCCACAACCTCTCCAGCAAAGGCTATCATTGGTGTTTTTGATTTTAGACATTCTGACAGGTGTAAGATGGTATCTCAAATTTGTTTTGGTTTGCATTTCCCTGATCACTAAGGAGGTTGAGCATGACCTTAAGTGTCTTTTGGCCATTTGAACTGGTTCTGTTGAGAATTCTCTGTTCAGTTCAGTGCCCCATTTTTTAATTGGGTTAATAAGCATTTTAAGGTCTAGTTTCTTGAGTTCTTTATATATTTTGGTGATCAGACCTTTGTCCATTGCAGGGTTGTTGAAGATCTTCTCCCAGTCAGTAGATTGCCTTTTTGTCTTAATGACAGTGTCCTTTGCTTTACAGAAGCTTCTCAGTTTTAGCAGGTCCTGTAGTATTAAGGGCAGCGGGGCTGTGTTCCCAGCACCCCGGCCGCCTGCTTGGCTAGCTTATGCTCTGAAATAACAACACACAAACTGTATTCATTTAATCACTGCTTGGCCCATTTCTATCTAGCCTCTTCTAAGCTAATTCTCACATATTAATTTAGCCCATTTCTAATCATCTGTGTTGCGCCCCTAGGTGCGCTTACTGGGAAGACTCTAGCCTATGTCCATCCTGGGTTGGAACTTCATAGCGTGTGTCTGCCCAGGAGCCAGGAGCATGGCGTCTCTCTCAGGCGTCTGCTCCAGAGAGGAGAGCTGTCGAGACTGAGCTCACTTCCTCTTCCTCCCAGCGTCCTGTTCTGCCTACTCCTCCCACCTATCTTCCAACCAATAAAATGGGCCAAGGCAGTTCCTTTATTAGCCAATGACCTTCCTCCATCAAGGTCCCATTTATTCAATGTTGCCCTTATTATCTGTGCTACTGGGGTTATACGTAGGAAGTGTTCTGCTGTGCCCATGTGTTGTAGACTACTTCCCACTTTCTCTTCTATCAAGTTCAACGTGTTCCGATTAATATTGAGGTTTTTTAATCCATTTGGACTTGAGTTTTGTGCATGGTGATAGATATGGATCTATTTTCATTCTTCTACAGGTTGACATCCAGTTCTGTCAGCACCATTTGTTGAAGATGCTTTCTTTCTTCCATTGTATTCTTTTAGCTCCTTTGTCAAAAATCAGGTGTTCATAGGTTTGTGGGTTAAAATCCGGGTCTTCTATTCAATTCCATTGGTCGACTTCTCTGTTTTTATGCCAATACCAAGCTGTTTTCAATACTGTAGCTCTGTAATAGAGTTTGAAGTCAGGAATGGTAATGCCTCCAGAAGTTCCTTTATTGTATAGGATTGTTTTGGTTATCCTGGATTATTTGTTTTTTTTATATAAAGTTGATTATTGTTCTCTCAAGATCTGTGAAGAATTTTTTTGGTATTTTAATGGGGATTGTGTTGAATTTATAGATTGCCTTTGGTAGAATAGCCATTTTTACTATGTTGATTCTACCCATCCAAGAGCATGGGAGATCCTTCCATTTTGTGGTGTCCTTTTCAATTTCTTTCTCAAAGACTTAAAGTTCTTGTCAAATAGATCTTTCACTTCCTTGGTTAGAGTTACCCCAAGATACTTTATGCTATTTGTGGCTATTGTAAAAGGTGAAATTTCTCTGAATTCTCTCTCTGCTTCTCTATCCTTTGCACATAGAAGGGCTCCTGATTTTTTGGAGTTGAGCTTGTAACCTGCCACATCACTGAAGTTATTTATCAGCTGTAGGAGTTCTTTGGTAGAGATTTTGGGGTCACTAATGTACACTATCATATCATCTGCAAATAACGAAAATTTGACTTCTTCTTTTCCGATTTGAATCCCCTTGATCTCCTTATGTTGTCTTATTGCTATTGCTAGCACTTCAAGAACTATGTTGAAGAGATATGGTGAGAGTGGACAGCCTTGTCTTTTTTCTGATTTTAGTGAAATGGCTTTGAGTTTCTCTCCATTTAATTTGATATTAGCTGTTGGCTTGCTATATTTGCTTTTATTGTATTTAGGTATGATCCTTGTATCCCTAACTTCTCCAAAATCTTTATCATAAAGGGATGTTGAATTTTGTCAAATGCTTTTTCTGCATCTAATGAAATGATCATATGTTTTTTTCAGTTTATTTATATGATGGAT